GAGTTAGACTGAGGATGAAGAGGGTGGAAGATAGCCCCACTCTCCCCTAAGTCTGCCACGTCCTCCTCCTCTGGGAGGCACTGAGCCATTGGGACCAGGATCCTGAAGCCTGGGGCAGGGAGAGAAGTAAAAAGAGAGAGGGTGGCCTGTTGTGTGCTCAGCTACTCCTGAAACCCCAATGTGGGGCTGCAGCCAAGCCCCAGAGATGGGGTGACCTCTGTACAAACCAAACTTCGCTGGGCAGTACTTCTGCAAATATAAACACGAACTCACCACGTGACAGTTCAACCAGTTCATGTAAACACTAAAGGGAAAAAAAAAATCCAAGGGAAAAACTGTGCTCCAAGGTATGGAGAAGGGTCTGTAGTTTTGTGACTCAAAGAGGGGGGAAGGTCAAGAGCTAAAGGGCTCAGAGCCCACTGGGTCTGCAGCAGGGTTACAGGGGCCATTCCAAACCTGGGCACAGGGAGCCTCAAGCCCTTCCCAGTGTGGGAAATCCTTTGTCAGAGGAAGCAATCCGTGCATGGCTGGCTTTCCCCTACACCTGAAGCACATCAGGTTAGAATTCCATGGAAATCAGAGGGTAGTCCTAAGCAGGAGGGACAGCTGTTCGACAGAAGAAGGGTTACCCCATTGCCTGGTACCTTCATAGAAGGAAGTTGCCTCAAGAGAGCCGTCTAAGCTTGGAAACAGGGGGTGGGATGGAATGAACTCTGAAGAGCACACCCTTCCTCCCTGGCCTTGCTCCCCCACCCTGCTGCTTGCGCTGGCAAAGGGGATGCTGTCCCCCGTGGCCCTGTGCTCTCTGTGAGGTTGTCAGCAAACTATCTGTTGTTTCTGCAAATAATCCACTCTGTCCCTGTAAAGAGCGTGAGCCCTCCAGAGCATTCACAAATGCCATGTTCTCCTGAGCTGGGCGTTTCAGCAGTACTCCATCTCAGCCTTTCCAAGGCACCCATTATCCTAAAATAAAGCAGCCAAGGAAGGGGTTGGCAGCTAGGCCCTGGGGACAGTGGGAGACAGGAGGTTCTGGGCTGTGTCGTGGTCTCACCAGCTTTCCCAAAAGAAACCACGGGGCTTGGATGTGGCAACATTCGGGGCAATAAAAGGTCTGCAACTCTGGATTAAACCAAGAGGGCGTGGGTGTCACCCACAGGCCACCACTGTGTTGGGATTCAATCAAGCAGGTATAGCTTCCTGGTGGCTCAGCAGGGCACCTGAGAGGCCCACCTGGCTCACCTGGGAACTAAAATTGAAACCCAGTTGAGCACTGGGATGGGATAGGGACAAGAGGGAAGAGACCTGACCAGGCATGGCCTGGAGGAGACCAGAAGAGGCTGGGAGGTGGTATAAAGTGGGAATAAGGACAGATGGATTTCAGTGTATTAATGACATGAAATCCTATACTTTATTATACACATCTACTTTCACATTATCACATGTAGGCATGTAAGACTATCTATATGGGCCAGATCATTCAAAGATAAATCTTAGAACAACAGAAGATATTTGGGGCAACCCATTCAGGGAACTCCTACCCCCACCCCTTCTTATCTGAGTGACCTTGGTCAAGTAACATGACTTCTCCAGACCTTGGTTTTAAAATGGGATCGTATCAGCACATATCCCTTAGAGCAGTTATGAGAATTGAGTTAATATTGGTGAAGCACTTGGAACAGTGCCCAGCATATATAAGCAATGTTAGCACTTAAACACACAGGCTCCAATGAATGTGCCCAGTGTTTAATGCCAAAGGGCCCCTCATCCTGTTCTTGTTTTTCATGCATTTATTTATTCAGTAAATACATGTCTGGTGTCTACTATATGTCAAGCTTTGTGTTGATACTGCAGCTGTAAAAATGAGCAAAACCCCCCGTGGTCTGCCCACTCTTGGGGCTTAGAGTCTAAATGTCAGCTCTTTTGATGAGCTTTTCCTCCAAGCACCTCCAAATCTCTGTCAGGTTAAACCAGCCCAACTTAGATAAAACCTTGCCTCAGGGCACCAGCCCCTGAATACAGCCTCTGAAAAGGAAAATTGCCTGTGGTTTTGCAGCTGTCCCAGCCGTGGAGTACAGGACCAAAAACTGTCAGAGTCCCTGGAAAAAGCCCCAGTGTTCACGATGCAGATGGTTAAAGCCAACCTTAGCTGGGGTGGCAGGTTCAGTAGATTGCTTTGCTCAGTACCCATTCCAGCTTCTAGCCAGCTTTCCTCTACTATAGAGACTAGAACCCCCAAACTACATTTCTCAGACACCCAAACCTTTCAGGTTTGGGATGACTTGGGACCTATTAATTAGATACACTCAGGCAAAATTTTGATTTGGAATCACATTATGAGAGAAGAAAGGACCAGTATGGGATGCCCATTTAATTGGAGCAGATTGAAGCCAGGGCACGTGGGCCTGGGGCAGCCAGATGTGGCTGTGGCCTCCTGACTCAGCAGCAGCTTTCTGATCGTGTCAGAGGCTGCAGCTCCCTTAGGGGCCCAGCTCTGCAGTGTGGCTTTGGGACTCATTCTTGGAAGTTCAACCGGGAATCTTTCTTCAGCCCTCCCAGCTGGTGCATGATACATCTGTACCTCTTAATAAATCCCTTTCGCCTTCACTGGATGGAGTGGATACCATCTTCTACAACTAGAAGTAGGAGAGCCTATTCAGAGCTGACCACCCCTAACATTACAGTTATGGTGGAACCCAGGCCTGAACCTAGTGAGAAAACAGTATTCGCTAAGGTGCTGGCAAGGAGGAGACACCAGACGCCTTATCATTTGGCCAGTAGCAATAGCAGGGTGAGCCAAGACATCCAGCACATCCCTCCGGCGCATCTTCCTTCCCAGTAAGCTTCTGCCATTCACCAGGGAGAGGAAAGGTTGGAGTGCAAGGCCACGACCACGTGGTCAAGGAAGAGGAGGTGGGGGCAGCTCTGTATTCCCTGCCCTAGCCCTGGTGGTGCAGGACTTCTTTCCCGCTCTCACACACGCCAAGTCTGTCCCTGCCCCAGGGCCTTCACCCTTGCCGTCCTGTCTGCTCAGAAGTGACTATCACATTTCCCTATTCTATCTTCTTTGTAGCACTTATCAATTATTAAATTATTTGTTTATGTGCTTGTTGTTTGTTTTCCCCCATTAAAGCATATGCTTTTGGAGGGCAGGAGCTCTGACTTGTTCACACTGAATTCCCAGACTGCAGAACATGCCTGGCACATAGTACGGGCTCCAGACAAATTTGTTGATTAACTTGTTCACTGATTCTCACCCTTCAAACCTCCTTCCTAAGGACAGACACTTTTGAGCCAATCACAATGGCCCAGCCTTTTGGGTATGAATTAAATCTCAAGTACCTCTTGAAAACAGAAGGAATTCATGGGTTAAAACCTGGAGATCAACGGCAGGGAAATCCTTCTCCCCTGAGAAATTAATAAGCTAAATCAGATGGAAATAAATTTGATCTTCTTCTCCTTCCCTTATTATCCTAATTGGTTTAATTTTGTGGCAAACATTTCAGCATTCTCCCAATGAAAAGCAACTCATGTTGCATTGGTAGCCCAGAAAGTAATTATCTTGTGGTTTTATTCTAATTCACTAACAGACACTCTTTTTGGCATTAAGGGCCCCTCAGAGTGAAGAGGTAAATAATGAAGATTAGAAAATGCTTTTTGCACTCCTTATGCTTTCTTTAAAATTAAAAATGATGAAATGATTAGGCATGACAATTATCTTTTTGTTAATTAAAAAAGAAGGTACATAATTTAAAGCACAATGTAAAACACAGAAGCAAACATCTCAATACAACTGGGCATCTCGTCCACTGACCTTTAACTGGTTTCAAATACCGCTGAATGCAGCCTTGGTTTTATTCCAGAACTGAGTAAATTAAGCTCTTTTTGATTATCCTAACTTGGACATAGTTTCCCTGGGGCTTATCCCAAGTCTAGTGCGCTTTGTGTCTTCGTAGCAGGTTTTTGTTAAAAAAAAAAAGTGCAAGGAGTTTCTATCCAGCTTTGATCTCTTGCTAACAAGACCTTTAGTATCCTAGCAATTTATTAGAGAAAAGTCCACTTTGTCCTTTTATGTCTCCATGCTCCTTCCCCACATCCTCTCCCACTTTGCTGCCCACCAACACAAAGTGAAAACCAGATGAACCTTTTCAGCCTCTGTACAACCTCCCTGCAAGTAAGATTTCCGCCCGAAGAGATGTCTGTCCGTGGCAGTCATTCCAGCAATTCCAGGACATATTGGAGGTCAAGGAGCTAGCACACACACAGTGAGGACACAGACCATCCGTTAGGAAAGGCACCAGTTATTGCCCCTTGACACCGATTTATTTTAAACTGACAAGAATGCTATTTTCGAAAGGTATCGGAAGTGATTTCTCTACCATGCATGCATTCCCCCCTGTTGCACCCTGCAAGATTCTTTGAAAGTCCTAAACAAAGTGACAAATAGAGACTAGGACAATTGCCAACTGAAGGAGAAGGTACTGGGGACAGTTACACAGGTGCCACAGATGCCTCTGGCCCATCCTGACCCCTTGTGCTGGGTGATGGCATGAATATCAAGGATAGAAGCTATCCTCTGCCCCCGGGGCTCTGAAGTTGAATCCACCGCTTGTCAAGCAGTGGGGCGAACTTTCCCAGCTGTCACCATGAGTCAGCTCACCCGAACAGATGTGGACAGTTTGGAAGAGAACTAAAGAAGGGGAGAAGTGGGGGCTGGGCAACGTGGACGTGGAGGGAGGTGGCTCAGGAAGCCTGGCTCTCCAGCTGCCTCAGCATCCTTACTTCTAATCTGTCTGTCTGTCTGCACTAGAACGTCTATACGTGGTGAACCTTCTGTGCCGCATGGCCTCAGCTCCCTGCTACCCATTCCTTCTCAGCCCCTTTCCTCTTTGTGGATAGTTTCTCAGGCTTGAAGAAACCCGCAAGGATCGCCTAACGTGGTGGTTTATAGATTACACAGAACAGTAAAACGTCCTCCAAAGTACGGGACCAGGATGGGAATGCAACTCCTCATTTTCCAAGTGTGATATTGTGACTTATAATGAGAAATATATATTTGGTCTTTGTCTCCATTTCTGGCCCAAACCTCTAACAACTTTTGGAATTGCCTAAGTGAAAATAGCAAGAAAGGCATCTCTTGTTATGTTAAAGAGGTGACGTTAGGATAGCTCCTAAGGATGGGGCTGGTCACCAGGAGGACCAACCTGCGATCAGTGGGTCAGAACCTTTGGTCCCACCCCTTTGACCCCAGGAAGGAGAGAGGGGCTGGAGGCTGACTCAGTAACCAGTGGCCAGTGATTTCATAAGTCATGTCTGCTTAATGAACCTCCATAAAAACACAAAGGACGGTTCAGAGAGCTTCAGAGCTGGTAAACACATGTGACAGCGGGGAAACTGGTGCGCCCAGAGAGGGCATGGAAGGCACAGGGCATGAACCTTTGCCCCGTGCATCTCTCCCACCTGGCTGTTGTTGAGTTATAACCTTTTATAATAAACTGGTCATCTCGTAAGTAAGATATTTCTCTGTGTTCTGTGAGCCACTCTAGCAAATTAATCGAATCCAAGGAGGACATGGCTGGAAGCTCCAGTCTATAGCCAGGGGTCAGAAGCACAGGTGACAACCTGGACTTGCTACTGTCATCTGCAGCTGGGGGCGGGGGCCAGGCTTGTGGGACTGAGCCCTTAACCTGTGGGATCTGATGCTCTCTCCAGGGAGTGTCAGAACTGAGTTAATTACTTGGTGGTGTTGGAAAATGCACCCACACACTGGAATTGGGTGTAGAATTACATCGAGTAAGTACTGCATCGTGGAAGGGAGCTCTCAGAGGCAGGTAACAGAAAACACAACTCAACTGGATTCAGCAATGAGATTTACCATCTTATGTCCCTGAAAGACCAGAGTGGCTGCAGGCAAGGTCACAGCAGCAGCCTAGGGAAGTCCTCAAGGCCCTGTGGCCTTGCCCTGTCCCCACACTGTCCTGTCCATATTTTCCCTCACAGTTGCAAGAGGCTGCCAGAGGCAGTGGAGCCGAAGCGTTTTCCCATCTAAGAAGAGAAAGCAGAGAAATCACCATCCCAGGCATGGAATACAAATCTTTCCATGATCTAATCTGATTGGGCTAATTTGGGTCACTTACATAACCAATAGCTATCACCAGAGCACACCTGTGGTTCTCAAACTTTTCCAGCTTTAAAACTCTAAAACTTATTGAGGACCCTACAGAGCTTTTGTTTAGGTGGGTAAAATCTATTGATATGCTTTGTATTATAAATGAATAGAAGGAAATTTTTTAAATTTTTATCTGTTCATTTTAAAATAACAATAATAAACTCATACATGTTAACTGAAATACCATGTTTGTTTTGAAAATAACTATTTTTTAAAGTTCAGTGAGAAGTGTGGCATTGTTCCACATTTTTGCAAATCTCTTTAACATCTAGTTTAACAGAAGACAGCTGGGCTTCATATCTGCTTCTGCATTCAGTCTGTTGCAACATCACATGACAGTTAGCCTCTGGAAAAATCCACTGTATATTCATAGAAGAATGAGAGTGAAACAGGCAAATAATAGCTGAGTCTGAAGATAGTTTTGACTTCCCAGACCCCCTGGAAGGGACTCATGGCCATACCTGAGACCTACTGGCTTAACTGATCAAAATTGCCCTCTGAAGCGGGGGATGGTGTAGACATCTGAACAAAACTGCATCGTCCTGGACAAAGGAAAGGGGCCTGGGCTTCAGTAGCAATCAGCAGCATCTCTTCCACTGGTACTGAAAACATACAAACAGACAAAAACAACTACCATCTATCATCTCCTACGTTTCTTTTTTTTTTTAAGAGCACTTCTATATCAAAGACATTGCATAATATAATTTCAAAATAAAGGGTAGCAGTTTCGACTGAATACATAAAATTTTGTGAAAAACTTACTACACTGATTGGACTTGGAAGGAGAGGGGGTTAGAGAGGATGGTACTTGATGGAATAGAGAACCAGACAGGAAAGCAGGTTTGGGGCAGAAACAAGGAATTCCACATGGACATGTTGAGCTTCACTGGGCTTGGGAGCCACGGAGCAGAGAGGCCAGGACTGAACACAGAGATTCAGAGGTGAGGGAAAGGTCTCAGTTAGAGGAATCGCATGGGGAGTCAGCTGTGTGAGTGATACTGAGGGCATTGCAGAGGAGGAGGGGCTCTTGAAGCTGTGCATACAGATGTGTGAGGTGGCCCAGGGAGAACCCTGAGGGGCACCTCTTTTTAAGGGTGGGTAGAAGAGAAAAGCCAGGCAGAGGATAATGATGAGAGTTGTTAGCAACCTCTGAAGATGCATTCCAATCAATGGTCTTGATGAGAACATTCAGGAAGGGGATAATGGTAGCAAAGCAGATGTATGTGAGCTAGATTCCAGAGGCCATGAGTGTGAGCAGGGAAGCTGATTTGCTGGCAGCCTCCATGGTCAGCCTCTTGCCTGAAGTGCCTGTGGCCTCAAGTTTCCTCTGTATTAAAAAACAAAAGCAAAACAAAACAAGAAACTGACATTAAGAAAAGAATCTCTTTTGAACCTTTTTAATGACTGTATAGTATTCCACCTTGCGGCTGTGCCATAACGTAATGATAAGTGCTCACAGAATGCTGGCACGTGAAAAAAGCAAGACAGCAAGCAGTGTATGCAGTATGGTTCTAGTGCTGTATCTACACAGGAACACTGACTGGAGGATGCACATGTGTGTAAGTTGACCTACACATGGCCAGATAAAATGAGGCCCCAATAGGTGTGCTTGGTCAGGATTTGACTCTTTGGTTCTATTGAGTATGGTTGCTATTTTTATAAGCTGATGAGAGAAGGGGATGGTAGAGGATTTAAGTGCCAGGTGGCTGGAGAGGCCAAGGAAGAGTTTCCTGGGAAAGAGAGAGAAGAGAGAATGAGAGACACTTTCCACCAGGATTAACACCTTAGAGACTTTAAGGAAAGCACACAGATGCTTCAGGTGTATGGTGAGAAGACAGGATTTGTTGCATAGGTTGCAAACATTTCCCACTGCCAAAAAAATTCTAGAAAAATCTACATTACTTAGCAATGTTTTAGAAATCAAAATTGTATAGAATTGGGATCTGCAATGGTTGCCCTCCAGAGAGCTCAGAAAAAAACACTGAGGCAGCCCAGGGAGGCTTAGTTATTTGTAAGTTATGAAACAACAACAATAATAATATTAACAGCTATCATCTCTTGAGCCAGGGAGTGCTCTAAGCACCTTACATGTATCAACTCACCAAATCTTCCCAACAGCCTTATAGCATAGGCACCATGATTATCCCCATTTTACAGATGAAGCAACTGAGGCAGAGAGAAGTTAGTCATTTGCATAAAGTCACAGAGCTAGTAACCTAGTACATGGCTGAGAGATTTTGCTTTTCACCTCTACACACCACTGTGCCTGTCAGTAAACTAATCAATATGCCTGTTTGAACTAGAACAAAACTTCAATAGTTGTCTCTGAGTTACAAGAACATGGATGATTTTTCTTCCTTATTTATATGTTTTCTAGATATTTCAATTTTTCTACAGTAATCTGGTGTCACTTTTATAGTTATATAAAAATAAGAAAAGGATCTTATTACATTATCAATCACATAAACATCAGTTATAACTGACCAGAACATAAATGAGACCTTTCTTAGGAGGATTTGTGTTTTAATAAGTAGCAAATTCCTAAACAGAAGGAGAGAGATTTCTCATCAGCAAGCAGGTTGGGAATAGTTAGAAAAGAGGGAACAATCTCTCTGAGGTCACCCCCACTGCCCACCAGTGCCTGAACACAACCGTGCTCCCCAGAGCTGTACCCTGGGAAGAAAGGAATGGGGTGATGGGAAGCCCCAAACATAATCAAATCCTGCCTGGGGGCCGGGGCTGTAACTGACTCTGGTATCCGGGTGGGTGGGAGGGCAGGGCCAAGCATCCTGCTGGATCAGAAAGCTGGTGTCACGGCCCGGCAGCCCATAGACAGCTGGAACATAAAGGAAGTGTGAGTCCCCAACTTGTTCCTCTCGGTACTCCCTTAATTTAGCACAATGTTACACAGTAAGTGATCAGTAAGTGTGTCATTATTAGTATGATTTTCATTTCCACAGATGACCTACACAGAAGGAAAGAAGGAAAACTGCCCCCAAGGAGGAGGTTCAGGAGGATTTGGGACATCAAAGCATGGGTTCCAGAAAGGCTGAATTTTGTCCCTGGAGATTCATTTATTGCTCAACATGATAGACTTTGTTCAGTGTTGGAGGGGTGAAGAGGCAGAAGTACGGCCACAGTGACTTCTGGCGACCCTGATGGCCTAAGCAGAGGCAGCATACTATAACTGAAAAATAAACAAATAACAAAACATCTCCAGGCCTGGGTTCGAGTCCCAGCTTATAGAGGTTTGTAGAATTTGGGGTTTGATGGTACTTCAGGGGTCTTCCCATCCCTCTTCATAGCTTACATGCAATCCCCTCCTGCATCCCCGTCAGAGACCCTCCAACTCCATCCGAGCACACCTGCCTGGCTCCCCAGAGAACCCATTCTATCAACAGATCCCGAGAAAGATGTTAAGCAAACCTCTTTGGAAATGTCGATCACATGAGGCACAGATGTCCTGATTCCCCGAGGACGTAGAACCTGGTTGACACCACGGCCACAGCGCTCATGAGACTCAGCTCTGCCCTCTCTCACAGTCACTGGGCTACACCCTCCCATCAGGGCGACCCAGCCCGCTCGCTGAGCAACTGATTCATTTCTTCAAGCCATATTTTCAGATAAAACAAATCACTGCTAACTCTGTGAACTTGATTACATCTCCAACCTTTCTTAGGCCTCCATTACCTCATCTGAAAAATGAGAAAATTAGACCAGATGATCTCTTACTGAAATCTAATCCAGGACTAACACTGGGCTCCTCTGCTTAGCCTTGCCGGAGAAGCAGCAGGTGGGGAGAGAGAAGGCACTCAGCGTTTCTGTGGGAGTCAAACCGGAGCCAGATAGAAACGGCCTTGACAGTCAGCAAAAGCCAAAGCTGTGAAAAGTGGGTGCATTTGCACTTGGGAGCTGGATGGCTGTCTGAGGTCTAGAAATACAGAGTGAGGCCAGGATGTCTAGTCCCTAGGGAATCCGCCCACCTGAAAGGAGGGCCCCACCTGCCCAGCACCTGTCGGGCTGAGGGAGGGGGTGCCTAGAGCTCCCACTCAAGGTGGACCTTGGGAAGTCACACCTACCCAGTATGGCTCTGTGCCCACAAGGGACTTGGAGAGGCAGAATCTTTTCTAGGTGAGGCTTCCAAAACTTCCTAACAGGGCATGAGAAGTCCCCGGACAGGTCAGAACTGAAGGAGGAAGAGGGAAGAGGATGAGGGGTAAGAGGGAGGGGGAGGCAGGCAAAAATAAGAACTGATATAGCCCAGAAAATGCTAACCCGTTGTATGGATCGGATGGGGGGGTGGGGGGGCACCAAGGTGCTCCCACCACGTTCCGCAGCCCTGTCCTAGCACAGTGCCCAGTGGGCAGGGTGGGAACATGAGGGCGTGAGGTCTAGCATAGCAGAGACGGCCTGGCTCCAAGTCCCACCCCAGCTCCTGATTCACAGTCTGCACTACTTGGAGCCAATAACTTACCTTTCTAAGCTCAGTTGCCTCATCTGTATAATGGAGAGAATAATAATCTGTATATTATACAATAATATATGCATATAACAATAATAATAAACTATTAACCTACCTCGTAAGGTTCTTACAGGGATTAAGCGAGGTGATTTTAGTAGACTCAGTCAAGTGTCCAGAAACTGAAACACAATTTAGCAACAGGAGTCATCACCGTCTGTAGTTAGAGCTGCCCTTGCCCAGCCCCATCCCAACAATGAAGGACTGCGCATTCGGGAAGTTCATGAGTTTGGAGATGATGAAGGGAGGGAGCCCAAAGGAAAATCATCCCCCCACTCCACCAGTGATAAGCCTAAAGAAAGAGTCCTTTCCTCCTCTCTGCACTCCACACCCACTGTGCCCCACAACTCCCAGCGGGCAGCTGGCAGAGAGGAGCAGGTGCCCCCACAGGTGACCTGGACTCTAACCTGGTCCTGCTGAGTGGCCAAGAAGCACGTGTAGCAGATAGGGGATGAAGGGCCACAGGTGAAAGTGGGTTACGGCAAGTGGTGGAGAGACAGGAGGAGAAATGTTTTGCATTTAACAGAGTTAGCAGTGATTCGTTTTATCCGAAAATATGGCTTGAAGAAATGAATCAGTTGCTCATATGATGTGAACTGGGAGAAATGGGAAAATCAGAGGCCAAAACCCAGTGCAGAAAGTAAGGTTGTCAGATAAAATATAGGACACCCAGGGAAATCCGAATTCAGGAAAACAAGGAATAATTTTCTAATACAAGTATCTCCAAATATTGCATGGGCATACTTATTTTTTTAAGTTGTTTCTGAAAGTCAAACTAACTCGACATCCTGCATTTTTATTGGCTAGGTCTGGCAGCCTTGGCAGGAAGCACATGACAGCTTCCTGTTCCTGAAAGGACCGTGGAGGAGGTCCTATGGGGTGGGAATGGGGAGCTGGACCCAGCCTGAGAGTGGCGGAGGGTCCTGGAGGAGTCGATGGAGAACAGGATGTTTAGGCTGTGGAAGGTGACAGAGGCCAGTCGGGCAGAGGAGGGAAAGTCCTCCAGTGTGGCCGGGGCAAAGGGCACAGAGGCAGGGAAAGCAGGGTCCCTCAGGGGGGACCTGGGTGCCCATTTAGGAGGTACCCTCATTCAGAACACATTCATGCAGAATTCTTTTAGCATCTAGTGTGCCAGGCTCTCTTGAGTGAACAGACAAGCTCGCTGCTCTCACGGTGCTGCTTATATCCCAGCAGGAAGTGAGGGAATTTCAGACAAGAAACAAGTAAACAAGGCAATGAGAGCCAATGACAGGCAAACTAACCCCACTCCCATATTTATCTGGCTAGCTGCAATTGGTCTTCGGGTTCTACCTGGATATTATCTGCTTGATGAAGCCTTTCCTGAAGCTGTAGCTGGGGTCAGGAGCCCTCCTGGGGTTTCTCCAGGCACAGCGTTTCACTCACTGAGTGGAATGTTTGCTTCTCTATGCACCCACAAAACAGAAGCGCCCTAAGGAAAGGGCCTTAGGTACCTAGCACCTTAGGTGCTACCATGTGATGACTGGTACCTAGCACATGCTAAAGCATGATCTGTTAAAGAAATGTATACGTTTTGGATACAAGGCATGGCCGTGCACATCCTGTTGGAAAAGCTAGTCCTGTTGTATTTATGGGTCTGGAAATGGGAAAAAGATCAGGAGCTTAAAATAAGATTTTTAAGTTCCAATAGATGGACTGTATGTTGGAGTTATGGGTATAAATACATATGCATATTATAGTGTAAGCATCCTAAGGGTAAATCAGTTGCTTTGGTTAGGAACAAACAGAATGAACACTGGCAGGCTTGAAGGGAAAGCAAAAAACCAAAAACATAGGCCAAACCACACAAACAAAAACAAAGCCCACCTGGGGGTTAGGGATTCTTTCTGGGGCTAACATAGGTGGCTCTCAGGGCCAGAGGAAAAGCCGGGACCTGGGTTTAGAGAGGCAAAGTCTGTCAGGGCACCCGTGTGGAGCAGGAAAGAAGCCAGTGTGCTCAGAGCTGGAACACCCCAGCATGACCCATCCTGCTGATTCATTTCAGCCAAGTCCCAGGAGTGAGAATCTGGCTGGCGTAGCCTGGGGCAGGGACCCGCCTCTTGGTTGGACCAGAACAGGACACCTGTTGGTTAGCCAAGGACATGACTTTATTGGGACCAAAACTACACCCATGGGTAATTATGCCATGTGAAATTAGGATGGTGTTATCAGAAAAGAGAGAGAGTGGATGCCGAGCAGCCGATGCACAAGCGTCCTATAATTATGAAGTTTTGCCAAACTGTCAGAATGCAAAGTAATAAACGAGTGACCCAAGAACACTACAAAGCCTCCTCCTGGGCTAATTTCTGAGGAAAATCATATACAAACCCTGTCCTGAGATTATCTGAATGGAGCATTGATGACTGGGAATAGGAGAATAAGCTAGTAACATCTTTTGTTGTTTCTAGATCTATAAGAACCAAACAGGACCCCCAAGGGAGCCTGGAAGGTTTGATATGAGATAGGAAATCATGCCGTTTCATTTTTAGGCATGGTGGTGATGGGGGCGGTGGGGGGCATGATGGGAGGGGCTCTTGGATGGCCAACTTTAGGGTGAATGGGTGGCATCTAATTTATGTGTAGATATACCTTCAGTGTTGTAGATGCATATGTCAAAATAGACATCTACATACGTTGCTATGAGGGAGGCATGTGCCTTCCCTGTTGGAGCACCTGCGACTTACAGATTTGGAAGAGGCCTCCCCTTGCAAGCAACTGTCAGGAATGATGGATGCTGCCACCTCAGGCAGAAGGAGCCTGCAGAAGAGGCCCGAGCTCTGGGAACCTGGTGGAACCTAGTTCCATTCTCTTCATCCATGACTATCAGGACCCCATGATTGCTGATGCTTTCCAGGTTGCCTAGAGGACATCCCACCCAAGGCAGCAGAGAAGGGGTTGAAGAGGTCGTAGGAGAGGCTCAAGTATTATGGGAGAGGAGTGGGGAAGAGAGGGAGCAAGGAGCAGAGTGGTAATGGGAGCGGGAACTAATGGACACAGGCAGGCCCAGCAGGGGAGACCAAGATGTGATCTGCAGGTCAGTAAAAAACTAGGATGATTTTCCTCTGAAATTTCCACTTCGAACAAGAAATTCTATTCTCCAGTTACCTGTCTCCTAATTTGTAACACTCAAGGGTCTTCGAATGACTTTCCTAAATTGCCATGCCCCACTGATCTTTCCTTCCACTCTCCATTTCTGTTTCTTACTTAAAATCTACAAGGGACTTGCATAATAAACATCTTAAGGCATTAAAACCCACAGACACTATGTCACCATAATGTCACCAAGTTTTAAAGTAAATAACAGGGGAGGTGGCAAAATAAAATAAAATAAACAACAGGGGGAGATAAAATAAAATAAATAACAGCAGTCCTCTTCATGTATATCATCCTGACCAGATTAAAAAGCATTTTCACTTATATAGACCCAGGTAGTTGTCACATCAGTCCTGTGAAATAGGTAAACTGGCATTGTTTTTCTTCAAAGCCAAGAAAATAACAATGGAGACATAAAGATCTGTGTGCAAGATGATGAACCTAGTAGGGAACAAAGTAGAAAGGTTAATCTCAAACTTCTTTTCTTTCTTACAGTTGAAAGCATCTTTATTTATACATGTATGTTTAAACAATATTGACAAGTTTTACCCTGTGGTAGTCACATTCATTCACTGAAAAAACACTGACCTTAAAACTGTACAGAAGTAGCCCATACAGAATCGTATCTTTTTTTCTAGCTTTACTGAGGTATGACTAACACATTTAAAAGTATATATTTAAGGTGTACAATGTAGTGGTTTGATAGAAGTATACATTGTGTAATGATTACCATAATCAAGCACATCCATTACCTCACCTATAGTTCTCATCTGTGTGTCTGGTGAGAATACGTAAGATCTACTCTTTAAGCAAATTTCAAGTATATAATGCAGTACTACAAACTATAGTCACCACACTGCACATTAGATCCCCAGAATATTATTCTATTCGTCTTAGAACTGGAAGTTGATACACTGTGACCAACATCTCCCCACTTCCCCAAACCCCCAGCTCCTGGCAACCACCTTTGTACTCTCGGATTCTACTTAATTATTTTCTTTGTATTTCTTGGATTCTACTATATTAGATTCCACAGGTAAGTGACGACACGCAATATTTGTCTTCCTGTGTCTGGCTTCTTTCACTCAGTACAGTGTCCTCCAAGTTTGTCCACATTATCACAAACAGCAGAATTTCCTTTTGTTTTAAGGCTGAGTAGTATTACACTGTATGTTTCACATAAATGTAATATTATATTTTCCGTATCCATTCATTGGTCAGTGGAGACCTAGGTGGTTTCCAGGTCTTGGCTGTTGTAATGAATGCTGCAGTGAGCAGGGCGGTGCAGGTCTCTTTGAGATCCTGCTTCCATTTCCCTCTTCAGAGTTCTCTCTATAACACCACACTGCCTGAAATCCACGCTCCTCTCAGCTCACCAGAGGGGAGCATGATTTGCTCTAGAGAAGCAGGAGGAGGCAGAGGAAAAAACAGCAAGTCTGCCTGCTGGGGTGGGAGTCCACTTCGGATGTTCCTCCAGTGGCAGGACACTGCGTCAGCCACCCATGCTGAAGCCGCGCACAGGGCTGCTGCAACTGCTGCGCAACTGCTGCCATGGAGCGGCCCCTCCTCCTTTATTTTGTAGTACTTGTGGCTAGGAGGAGCAAGACCCGTCCCAAGCTCCCAGGATGGGCCCTGCTTGATCTAAGCCAATCAGAAAATTCCATCTGATTTATCATAAGAATTGGTTCAAGGATGAGCAATAATCCAAACTTAAGCCAACTGGCTCATAGCGTGCCCCTGGGAGTTAGAGTAATTAGTTCAAGTTGGCCAAATGAGAGCAAGCCCAGGACCAGGGCCAATTTCCCGGGCATGTGACCCATACAGTCACACAGGGCCCTGCACTTACTAAGGTCTCACAATTCAGTTAATGCTCTGGTTTTGCCTTCTTGAAGTTCTTCGTAATTGTTGACCAGTATACCTGCATTTTCCTTCACACTGGATCCCACAGATTACGTTACCAGGACTTTAACTGGTTGCTTGAGAGTAGACAAGCATGGCCATGGTCGCCATAGGCTGCCATCTTGCAATCATGAGAGAAGCTAGCCTGAGGACAAACCCACGCAGAGTCACAGAGAGCTGGAGCCCTGACTGAGCTGAGCCTGAACTCCACCATGCACTTGGACTTCCTGATCATAGAAGCTAAAACATCCCCTTCTTGGTTTTAGGCAGATTTCAGGGAAATTTTCTATTGCTTACAACTGAGCACATCCTGATACAATGACTAATGACAGTCATCTGTGCATTAACTTAGACACTTAGAGTCACATCTCTAGGGCAGGAAGGGATGACCTCAGCTACCTCCGCTATACATCCTGCATTCCAGTCCTATCCTCTCCATGAAGTCTGCCCTGACCATCATGCCAGCCCTGGGGATGCCCCTTGTCAGTATTCCCCATGCAGCTCAATCAAATCAACACCCATTTCTTAGAACACTTGGCATACCACATGCTCAGCCCTGAGCTGAGCTGAATCATTTATGTGCCTTATACTGTCTGCTTATGCAAGAGGCATAAAAACTACAGCATTTAGAGCTAGATAGGACTTCACAGGCTGAGTCCAACACCCTTTCATTTTCCACATAGGAAGAAAGCCCAAAGGGAAAGCGACTTGTCCAAGGATGTATAGCAAGCTGGAGGCTGATTCAGACTGCAGCTCTCTCCACCCATCTGCCTCAGGAGCACTCCAGGTATTTCTACATATCAGCTAAAAGACGGAATCTACTGAAGTTGAAGAAGGCACAGTAGCCCTGCCAGTCTTAGAGAGTTGGGAATACAAAGCCCCCTCCAACTTCCCCAATGCTTTGACTCCATCAGACAGGCACACATAGCAGAATCTGCCCAATGTCCTGTCATGATAAAAACTGCTTTTTCTCCCTGTTGGATTTAATCCTTCATATTCTGGCATGAAATCATCTGAGTTCATACTGTGCATTCTTCCATTTACTAACTCTGTGACCTCAGGCAAGTTTTTCAATATGTCCATGACTCAGTTTCCCCCCTCTAAAATAAGACAATAGTTCTTACCTCAGAAGGAAGCAGTAAAGATGAAATGAGTTAATGAATATAAAGCACAGTGCGCATAGCAAGTGCTTTGTAAAAGTTGGTTACTATCGTTATAATTATTACAATAATCCTCTTCCTTGTAATACTAGTCATGGTTATCTTGCATTGACACATAACTTTAAGTTGGCAGTTAGCTTTTTGTGGATACATGCTCTACCCTCTTCTCCCATAAGCCCCTTCATGATAGGGACCATGCCATAATTAATTGTTATCTTCTACATACCCAGGACAGAGCTCTGCCCTCGGAGTAGTCCACAAAGAATTATTGCTGACTCCTTGCCCAACCTCCTCTAGCAGGTAGGATGTAAGTATTTCTCCTCTGTGAGCTTTGGAAAAGCCTAGCTTTCTGGTTTGGAAGATGGAGGATCCAGCCAATTAACTTTAAAAGTTTGTCAGTTAAGGGAAAGTTTCAGGGTCTTCATGAAGTGATCGGGACAAGACACCTGTTCTTTGTGTCAACTGTAGACAAGACCCAAAAGAATGGGGCTCCACTGCAGCAGAAGAGATTTGAGTTAGGTGTTGAGAAGAGTTTTCTCTACTGGGGCTCTGATACTTTTCAAAGAAAGTCACTGTGCTTTCTTCTCTGGAGATTTTTACAGAAGGTGTACACTAGTTGATTCCTATGGCATGATATGCCCACTGCAGATGGACACCAGTCTAGTGCTCTTCTGCAGGCCAGGGATGGAAGGAGAGCAGACAGCAGAGCTTTGGGACCCAAGTCCTAGAAGTCAAGGCCTCACCATCCCAGCAGAGCCCACAGGAGCACCATGCTGACCCCACAAGTAATACCCAGGCTACCTCTTTCTCTCCAGGTTGTCCCAGGGGGGTGTGGTTTGGGGGCAAACCACTTTGAGGCAAAGATGAGGCGGTGAGGAATAGTGACGTAATTTTCCTACAGCAATCTGAGCTCTTGGGAGAAAGGTGTGGCATAAATACCAGGTATTATTATTATGAATCAGATTTTTTTCTCTCTAAAGCCCTTCTCCACTTAATACTCTTATAATAAACCATTTCTAGGAAATGGGAATAGGAGACTTGAGAGGTGTTTTTCCAACTGAGTGGAGAGTTTTGCGTCCTTTCAATTAGGCTTCCCAAACTCTTTTTTTCCTCTCAGGATCAAATGTCACCGACTGACCAGACACCATTCTGTTTGAGCAGGAAACTTGCTAACCTTGACCCTAACCTTCTCCTCCTTTCTCCTCCCATTTTATTTACCCTTTGACCTGAACATAAAACAAACATTTAATCTCATTTATTAACTGAAAGTTATCTGTACTTCTTCAGTTTATATAGTGGCAGTTACTTGAAAACAAAACAAAAACTACAGGATTGGGTCAAACAACCAGTCTGTCTGATTTTTCCACTGAGGTAATTCCTTTCTGCATTTAATTTAAATAATTGACTGGTTGCTCCCCAACACACCACGGGGTTTCCCAGCCTTCTTGCTTTCAGCCCTTCCTCACATTCCCCCACACTGCCTCTTCTCTGCCTGGCAAGATCCCACTCGGCTTTCTAAACCTACTTCCGATGCTGCCTCTGCTGGAAAGACTTCCCTGACTGCCCTCCTGCCTCTGCAGCCGGACCAGCTTGCCCTTCCCTGCACTCCCAGGGGCCTTAGGTGCATCTCTGTCCCTGGTCTTATCACAGCCTGCCATTCTCTGAGACCTGCTGGGAGGTGATAAAATGGAGATATCTCAGCAGGACTCTAAAGTCACACTCTCTGATGTCAAATAAAGACTCTACCCCTTTCTAGTTTTGAGACCCAAGGCAAGTATCTTAGCTGTTCTACGGGCCAGGGGGCCCAGCTTCATAGGTTTTGCTTGGTAAGCTTCTGGCTTCTTGATAAGCTTCTATCTTTGGGGGATGGATCAATAAGAAATAAAAGAGAACTAAACAGAGGAATAAATCAAGATGGGGAAGAGGAACGTTAGAAGGGAGAGGAGGGCAAAGAGGAGGGGTTTTCTGAAGAGGAAAGAATATATCATTCAGGAGTGGATGAGACACCAAATATCTAACACCCTAAGTAGGTACCCCACACGCCAACCTAGCAGCAACTGTGGCCTATGGTTTGGGGGTGCGGGTAAATTTGTCAGCTAGCTCTGTTCCTGCACACCAGTGAGGGACGGGGCTGAGGCTCGGGTGCAGCGACACAATGAGACATGAGCAGGCAGGCCCCATCAGCCTGTCCTGGCACTGCTCGCAGGATCTGCCTCCAGGGCAGCATCTAGCTTTGGGACCACCCCACCCCCTCCCTTGCCAAGCCAAACCCACCTAGCCTGGGGCTAGAAAAAGCCCATGGCCATATAACCCTGGGATCAATGAGCCCCCATGGTCTCCCCAGTCAGCCCGGATGCAACCCAGGCCCTTAGCACTGCCTAGCTCCTGGCTGTACCTCTGCAGCCTGTCCCCACCTAGCATTCTTTCTGTTTCTTAAATATACAGACTGGTTGTGCTCTAAAGGCCGTTGCACTTGCTGCTCCTTTTCCGAGGACCCACTCCTCCAGACACCTGCATGACCTGCCCCCCACCTTTCATTCAGATCTCTGCCCACCTGTCACCTCTTGGGAGACATCCTCCATGCCAACCTATCTAAAGTAGGCCCCCACCATCCACCCCACTTAGTCTGCCAGACTTACCTTCATCACACTCACCTCCTCTGTCATTACGTCTGTCACCTACTTGCTGCTTTATTTGGTTTCTGTCTGTCTCCCCTCCACATATGCAGCATGATGGCAGAAACTGTATTTTGTTCACTGCTGCGTCATCAGAGTGCCTGGCACATCATAGATTCTCAGGAAACAATTAAGCACATGATGGGACGAAGGGCTCCAACCCTCTCATTCACAGTGAGGGACCCAGGCCCAGGGTGGGAGGGACTTGATCAAGGTCATACTCACCAACTCATGTGGACAGGTCCTGAATTGGCCCCACATCTCCTGGCTTCCAGATGGAGGAGTTGGTGCCACTCCAGGCTGTGATCTGGGAACGGCCCCCTCACCTGCATGTCCACACGCACCTCGGTGTAGACTCTGGAAGGGAGGCTGAATGCAGAAAGCTCAGTGCACAAAGGTGCCCTGTACCCAGGTTGCTTTACCTGCTATACTTCATTCTCTTCACCTCTATTGTTCCAAATAGGTTCTGAATCTGAATGAAAAGGGGCTTTAATAACCCAGGTCAAGACGGTCACAGGCTGGGGACGACCATGAGGCCAGGACAAGAGTCCACTGGATTTGGTTAGAATAGGATTAGAGGCAGAAGGGTCCCTAACAAGGTCAGTTGGAACTAGAATGGGTGCTCAACACAGGGTGAAGTATTATTACAACCCTGCAGAGACAGGAGAAAGCCACAGCTACCCACTTATGTAACATTCAGCCATTCAGCAAATATTGATTGAGTGCCTACTGGTGTATTTTAGTGTATTTAGGGACAGGTGCATGGGCAGGATGACATGTGAGGCCTCGCAAGCCCAAGGAACCTGATCCTGTGTGAGTGTCCTCAAGGAACCTCTCTGTAGCACAGCTTCTGCTTCAGCTGAAGCCCTGGGCACTGGGGATGAGAAGGAACCGGCAAAGAAAGTGTCACAATCTGCTTCTGCCGCTTCCTTTTCCTCTTTGCTCTGCTACAGCAACCGAGCTGTGAACGACACCCACAGGACAGAGGCTTGGATGCTGCGCTCTCTGGGCCCTTCATGGCTCATTTTGCCCATCCCTCTGCCCCAAAAGAATAAAAGTACTTTCTTGAACCCGGGCAAGGGTGGGTCACTCTTAGAGATTCCCCCACAGAGATAATTCTGCAGCCCCCTTTGCTCACCGTTCAGGGACTATGAACCCTTTCCAGCATCAAGTTCCTACTGAAATCTACCTTCCTACCTTTCTGCAATACCTTGTTTAGTTCTTTTTTAAAGTCAGTCTCAATCACCATAGATAATTCTCTAGGCACCAGATCCCCTTTTGCACCATTTATTAAGAACACATTAAAAAGTTAATCAATCAGCCAATAAATATACATTGGGCATCATTTATATGCAAAAATCTATTGTAGGTTTAGGAAGAGGCACAAAGAGAAGGTGGAAGAGATTGCAGTGGGTCTGGAGACAGAGATTAAGTTGGAATCACAGCTCTTACACGTGTCCCATGAGGACAAATCCTCCTTCTCATGTGGGGCTTATCATCTGTGAAATGGGGTGAGTGATTCCTGCTCCATCTGTTACACTGGACTGTTCTGAAGTTCAATAAAAAATACAATAAGCAGGGATTTTATAAACTGTAAAATTCCATAGAAATGTCAGTCGGATGCAATATGGTGTAGTGGAAAAACACTGAACTTTAACGGCCACGGGGCTGGGTGGGCCTGACCCCATCAGTACTTCCTTACTTCTTCACCTACTTCCCCTGGGACTTAGGGCAGGTCACTTAACCTGTTTTCTTCTCTGTAAAAATGGCTTCTGGTACAAACTGAGGTGCTGCATACAGAAGCATCCATCACTGGCCCCTGGTACCTAGCAGATCCTCCATCTGTAGTTGTTAATTTATTTTCAGCTGACTAGGGAAGAGATTGTAACAGTGGTGAACACCTTGGCCTGACCAGGCCTGAAGGGTCGGCCTAAGGAGAAATGGGACTTGCAGGACTGTGAGGGGGAGGAGGAGGGTGGGTACCATGCTCAGAGTCTGGGCTTCAGAGAACCATTGGTAGGTCATTTAGAGAGCCACTGATGTTTTTAGAGCAGTAGAATAGGAGATACAAGGCATCTCTGTTCTTTGTGGGAAGTGGCTCAGGAGTAGGGAACATTCTGGAATGGCTGGGTTCCCCACTTCAGGACTGGGCAGCTAACCTGATGGAATGGAACATGGGCTTTGGAAGGTCAGGGCCTGACTAGCACCTCCTTCGATAGAGCTAAAGCTCACAGCAAGACCTGTCTAGACTTCCAGGACTTGGGTCTTGTATTAGTCATATCCAGTTACATTAACAAATTACATCAAGAAGTAGCAGCTAAAACCAAAAAGAAATGTTTATTAGCTCATGGTTTCTGTAGGTTAGAAGTCTGAGAGTGTCCTAGCTGGGTGGTTTGGACTCTGGGTATCTCATGAAGTCACAAAGATGTCAGTCTGGCCTGTAGGTCAAAGTTTGGCCAGTCTCATCTGAGGGCCCAACTGGGGCTGGGGGATCCACAGCTGAGGTGACACACTCACACAGCTGCCGAGTTGGTGCTGGTTGTTGGCAGGAAGCCTCCATTACTCATCACACGAACCTCTTCACAGGGCTGCTTCAGAGTGCTCGTGGCATGGCATCTAGCTCCCCAGAGCGAGTGTCCCAGAGAGCAAGGCAAAAGCTTCAGTGTCTTTGATGCCCTGGCCTCACAAGGCACACACCCTCACATTCACGGTATTGTATGGGTCACACTGGGCAATCCTGGAGCAGCATGGGAGGAGGCCTACATATGGGAGTGATCAAGGATCCCTGGAGGCCTTACTAGGGGCTGGCTACCACGCTAGGGACTGTGGGATGTCAAAGGGAATGATCTTGGAATCAAATAGACCTGGGTTCAAATGCCAGGTCCTTGACCTACTCCCCATGTGACCTCAAGCAAGTCACTTAAGTACTTGCCAGTTTCACTTAGAAAGCCTGAGCTCTTGCTTCTTTTCCATAAAATGAGAATAAAATCAATAGTCTCAGTGTCATAGAAGGTTGTCAGGAGTCAGCAAGGTGCAGCGCACAGAGCTTGGTCCAGCTCCACGCACCGAGTCTATGTTTGGTAAATGGTGGCTTTATTTACTGGTAGGATGCAGACAGATCAGTGGAGGACTATTCTAGTAGAACAAACCCTCCCTGTGGTAGGCTGAATAATATCCCCCCAAGGATGTCCACATCTTAATCCCTGGAACCTATGAATATGTCACCATCCATATATGGCAAAAGCAAATGACACAAATGTAAGCCAAGGACTCTGAGATGGGAAGACTGTTCTGGATTGTCCAGGTGGCCCAATGGTTCAATCACAAGGTCCTTATAAGAAGCAAGCAGTAGACAGAGGGAAGAAGGCAATGGGATGCTGGAAGCAGAAATCAGTGCTGCAGCAACAAGCCAAGAAGCTAAGGTATTCAGGCGGCTTAAAACCGGAATAGACAAGGAAGAGACTGTCCCCGGAGCTGCATCAGGAGAAACCACCATCCGCTCCCCAGACATGGGGACAGCCCAAATTCTGGAGGTGCTGAGGATCCCTGAGCAAGAGGCATGGATTCAAAGTCAAACAGGGATGGGGACAATAGAAAGCAAAGTGCTAGAGTGGCTCTGAAGATGACTAGTCTGATTTGTGCATTTAAAGTGCCTTTTGCTTGACAAGATATAAAATTTTATTGCCTGGTTCCTGATGACCTCGGTGGTCCTCTTCCAAGACACACAATTCTGCAAACCTCTCTCTCCCCTCAGAGAAAGGGCAGAGAAAGGGACCAAGGGAAACCACCTCCTGAAAGCTTGGGGAAGGGGAGAGGGGGAACAAGGGAGGCTGTAGCAGGGGCCTTGCCATGGAGAGCTTGTAAAGAAAAACAGGCAAAGGATTTGAGGCACAAAAGGTTCGTCAGCACCAAGCTCTGCCACCTGCTGCTTAGCGACACTTTGAGGATCAGTTTCAGTTTCCTGAGCCTTTGTTTCCTCGTCTGTCAGATGGGGTCGTCATAAGGGTGGCGTGATGAAGGCACATAGTTGCACTCTACACAGCAGGCACAGTGAGCGGTCAATAAACGCCGGCTATTAGAGGGACCAGTTTGGCTTAGAAAGCATTTATTAAGTGTTTACTGTATATAAGGCAGTGTAGCCAGGCACCGTCTCGGCTCTTAATGAGTTTGTGTTCCGGTGGGGGACCTGAGCAGGTTCCAGTGGGGCATCGAGGACAGGGCAGGGACTCCTGCCTGGGGGGTCCTCTGCGAGATAAACAAAGAGCTGCCGGGAGCGAACAGACCTCCCTCACCGGCCACTCCGAGAGGGCTGGTCAGAACTAAAGGAGGCGGTCGCAGAGAGTCTGGTGGGGTCTCTCTACCACGATGGCCCCATCCACAAAGAGCAGCTGCTCCACGGTCGGTGTGCGGATTTCAGGGAAATAATCCACGCAGCAGTGGCTGGGTTAACGTCACTTATTTGTACTATTCTTAAGAACCCAAGCTGTGGAATCATAGAGTTCATTCCAGCCCCTCCTTGCAATACACTTACAAGAAGCCTGGCCCTGCGCATGTGGTTGGAATTCACTTATATCAGTAGATCCATGAAATAGGAGTGATTATCCCTGCATGCAGAGTTACTGTGAACAGAGACGTGAATCGGTCGCAGTGTGCCTGGCCCACAGACTCCGTAAATGAGAGCGATATATATGGTTACTGGCCGGCCCACATGTAGGGAGGAGCCCCTCACACCAGATGCAGAGGAGATGACGCCAAAGAATCCTTCTGTTGCCCTGTGACCTGCGCTCTCACCTGGTTGACCCGGCTCAGGAGAGATGGCAAAGGCACCGAGCTCTCACTCCCCGCCAGTCACGGCCAACTGGATAAGTAGGAGAGGAACAATTACCAAGCCAGGAGCAGTGCCAGCTGGCACACACACAGGGCCCCAGGGCCCCCTGTTCCCTGTGCAGCCACCTCCAGGCAGCCGCACCTGCGGCCCCACTGTGGTCCAGTGCAAAGGCGGTGCATCCACTTCCAGGGGCCATCCCCACTGGTTACCGCTGGAAGTACTCACTGGCACAAGCTCTCTGTGATTCCTGCCGAGACCCAGCTCTGGGTGGGGCGAGCAGGCAGATGTGCCCTGTCCATAAACAAAACCCATGTGATCTCCTGCCACAGCAGGAATAATAAAAGCTTGTACCTATGCTCCTCACATGCCAGGGGCTCTGCTGAGCAACCCATTTGACAGATGAGGAAACTGAGACACAAAGAAATTAAGTAACTGGCTGCAGTTTACTCAAGCAGTGGGCAGAGAATCAGGATTCCAACCCAATCATCTGACAGGAGGCCTGCTCTTCCCCACCAGCCCTGCAGGCATGCTGCCCTGGGGACCCCACGTGCAGGACAATTGCCCTTGTATTTGTCATGGACCCTCCAATGTAGAGACGAGGCAGATGCTCCCATGGCAATTTGGGAATCACAAGGGGCTCGCTGCCTGGGGAGGACTAACTAGACTGTGCTTGCCCCTGCTGGGTCCCAGCCCCCCTCTTTCCCCCCACAGTACCTTCTTCACTGCTCCCCTTTGCAGAGTTGGCCCCCAAGTCACTGGTAGAAAGAAATCTGCTTCAACCAAGTTCTTCCCAGCATCTCCAGGCCAGCCCTCGGGGGAAGACTTCTTGGCCAGGACACTAGAAAGTTTCCAACCCTTCATAAACCTCCCAGGCAGTGAATTCAAATAAAAAGACAGAGAGGGAGGAGGAGCCACCTGAGAACTAAGCTTTCCCCAAACAGTGAACAGCCTTAAACGTCCTGAGGACTAGAACCTGACAAGTTGCAACTCACCAAGAGGCCTTCCCCTCCGGCTGCACTCACTAATTACAAGGGAAAGGTTGAAAGGGAAGTTTCAAGTTTTCTGTGACAGTGCAGTTTTCTCTTTTACTCTCCTTTCTCTCTCCTCTAGTCTCCCTTCCCCACTCTTTCTCCTTTTCTTCCCCCTTCTCAGGTTCCTGGCCACACGCTACTTCAGTTAGGTGTGTGTTGGTTGTGTGCACTGAGCACAGACTCATGTGCTGGAAGGACCTTCCAGAGGTCACAGAATCAAATCCCTGCCCCCTTACACAAAATCACCACTCACCCATCAGCATCTTTCACAAAAAGGTGAGCAAACGGCCTGGACTTCTCCAGACAGCCTTTAAAAGTAATGTGTATTTCTCCTTGTACAAGCAATGCATGCTCATGCAGAAGATACAAAGAAGACATTTAAGACCATCCGTTGTCCCAGCAATCAGAGAATACACTATCAATATTTTGATGTATAGTAAACCCTTGACATTCCCAAGAATTATAGATGAAGATCTTCACAAATCTCCAAATTTAAGAACATGGAAATGTCAGGGGCAACCCCAAGAGGCTTTACAAAGATTCTTAGCTCTGCATCTTCTCCATTTCACCATAGATGTAAAGGAAGGGGAGTCCTAGTTTGAGGCTGGGGGTGGATAAAGTGCCACCACTTTACAGATAAGGAAGCTGAGGCCAAAAGGCTGTATCCATATGTCTGTGGCCCTCAGCTAAAAAGGAGTCAAAGATGTAGCAAAGAGAAGGGAAAGGCCTTGGCAGGGTCTGATGAGAGCTGGCTGGTGCCTGCATTGGCCAGGAACTTGGAGGCTCAGGAAAGCTAGCAGGAACCATTTCCTTTCACTTGCACTGACAGGTTGAGTCTCCAGCTTAATCAATCCCAAGTTTTCCAGGATCTGCAGCCAGGTGCATTGTCTGGATCTGGAGAATGAGGCACTGGTGAGGCTAAACAGCCACCCCTGGCCCAGGTGGCCCCATGCTGAGATAGGGTATGTGCTTCCAGGTATTGCAGCTGGGACCCATGTGCCCCCAGGGAAGGTCACCAAGAAGGAGAGTAGCAGATGCTGGTGCTGGATGCTGCAGAAACCCGTGGTTCCAGAACACACGTCCTACCCAGGCAAACAGGGAGAGCTTGCCAGAGCTGGAAACCTGGGACCAGCCCTCCTCCTCACCCTGCCCCTCACTTCACACTGTTGCATCTTGGTCAAGTCCCCTGACAGCTAGCATCAGAAAGTGGCATACCTGCCTTGGACAAACATCCAGAAGCCCCAAACTCGCAGTGGGTTTACTCCTCCATTCCAGGGCAACAAAGAGCTCTGGGCAAGGCTTTGGAGTTCGTTGCGACCTGTAATGCTGCCTGTTCCTCCCCTTCCTCCCCCAGGATTTAGCCTGGGGCTGAGAGCGCTCACTCGCCGCTCCCTCTACGCAGCCTGGAGCCAGCTGTGTAGTCTTCCTTTCCTAGACCTGCCGCAACTGATTCATCCGCTGCCAGATTTCCTGAGTCCCAGCCCAGAGCCTGTTCTCACCGCACCCACAAAGGCCTTGCTGGATGCCCCTCTCTCTTGGCTGGAACCTCTAAGAGTCGGTGTATTTTCTCCAACCATGCCTAAGCTCCTACAGCTTCTGTCTTCATACTTTATCTCCTCAGTGGCTCATCAAAGAGAAGAAAGAGAAGTGTGATGAGAACAATCCGAAATAATGATAAAAAGAAGGGGGAAAGATCTACATACTACTCTAGGAATCCTAACTAGCTCATTTCTTCCAAATGACCTCGTGGGGAAATTTAACTTAGAAGATCAGTCGCCCAAGTTTCAGGAAGGCCTTTGGAATTCTTCAATGATTTCCAAGGTCTTGGGAAATGTTTGGGAATAGAGAATTAATAATTTGCGAATCATGCAAAAAACAAAAAATAAAAATACTGAAATGACTTCTGACCCAGATATTGTTTATTCCTAAGATACAGACACACTTTTACATGTACGCCCTTCCCATTTGCTTTGGTACACGTGCATATACACACATCTTATACCACCCCCACACAGATCTGGAGAGGTCAGGGATTGTGCCCAGCCCAGGTAGAGTTGTCAGGTAAAAATAAAAATACAAGATACCCAGTTTAATTTTAATTTCAGATAAACAATGAATAAATTTTAATGTATGTCTCAAATATTGCATCCTTGCAGTGGAACATACTTATACTAGAATCTATACATTGTTTACCTGAAATTCCCATTGTACTGGCCATTGTGTATTTTATCTGCCATCCCTAACCTGAAGGCATGTATCTCTAAATCCCCAACAGAAGTCCTCTCACCTAGCCCCACAGAGATGCTCTTCCATGAACATGAACCTTGTGAATTCCCCCTATTTTCATATAGTCCGCTGAAAATTACCAGCACTGAGGATCTAGGGAATAGCAGGTTATTTTCAGGCCCTTCACCATCTGTCTTACTCCTGATCTCATTCAGGAATGTGGCCAGTGACTCAAAGGTTAGGGGTCTTAGTGGTACTCAAACTCATAAAACGTCAAAGACCTTTGGTATCCCAAAAGGCCATCATCCTACTCATTCTAAATTTTTCTTCCATAACAGTACTGGTTTGGGTTAGGAAAGGTTGAAAATATTGGCTTGAATGAAGAGTTTAATTCCCAGGTGCTAGAGAAAAATCAAAGAAATGGCTTAGCTGGTTCCTAAGGCAACATCACAGAGACATCTAGGACAACAGTGGGGCTGTCTTAGCATATCTGTTGTTAAAGGACCAGATACGAGTTTTGCACCTATTCTGCAGAGTTGCCAACCCTGTACTCCACAAAGACTGGCCATGGCCATGAAGACAAGGTCTCAGGACATCTCTAAGTCCTTCCCTGCTCATCACTTGGAAAGCTGTGCATTCTCCAAGTTGGGGGGCTCTCTCTCCTAATGTAGAAGAGCAATCCCTAAGTCCCTGATGGGGCTCCTTGAAACATCTCTGTTGGGGGCCTTCCCCTTGCTGGGCACGTGTGAACAAGTCTCCCTCATGCTTTTGACTCACTCTGAAATGAGCTCTGCCCAAGGCTCAGGTCTCTAGCTGGCAACTTGGCAGTGAGCCTGGGACAGTGGGGGAAGGAAGCATTCTAACCCAGTTTGCTGACTTGCCTCAGAGATCCATACTGCCAATTAGCCTTCTGACCCTCTATTTCCAGGTTGGCAGAATGGGTATTTTCCAGAGAACCAAAGAGACAATGTCTGTGAATATACAGTGAATTCTCAGGAGAAGGTCGAAATTTGAAACATCAGGCATCTTCCAAGGATGAGATATGGTTTGAAGCTTTTCAAAATCTCCAGACCTCTATGTTGAGAACCACAGGTGTTTAGGATGCAGAAAAAATATCCCTGGTCTCCCAGAGACCAAACAATTTGAAGAAAAAAGATAGAGCTACAATGTTTCCCGAGGGAATAAAAAGGACGATGAAAAAAGAGTTCAAACTTCAGCAAAAGGATCAGTGTTCAACACTTTGGGAGTTTCCTTATAGTGAAAGATTTCTATGCATGCAAATTGACAGAATAATGAACTTTTATCCCACAGCCTCTTTCAGAGTCAACATTTCAGGAAGACACACAGCCCCAATACTCTGTCAAGATGGTAGAAGAAGAGGACTTTAATAACAGCCCTGCACCACCCAAAATCAGAAAACCCATGAAGATTATTTGAAAAAAGCTCTTTTGGTTTCCAAGAAAAACCTTCTCCAACTAGTTCAAAGGGAGAAAATGTTTGTTGAAAGGGTACCAGGAATGTCATGGAATCGTGGGGAAAGTATTACGGGACCTGGAACAAGAAAGCCAAAGCCCCCTGACCCGGCACCATTCTCACTTGTCTAGCCTATTTGTTCCATCCTCCTTACTTGGTACTGAATATGTGTTTGTCTTGTTGTCCCGATATCCCAGTCTCCTAAGGTTTCTCAGCTCCCATGACCACCACCTTCTGCGTCTTTCATGCACATTCACGAAAGAGAGAATCTAATTGGCTCAGCATGAGCCACGGGTGAGTCCTGATGGCGTCAGGTGTCCTACCCTGAGACAATCCCTGTGATGGAGCACAGAGGGTTCAAGGCACTGAGCATCATGACCCAGGAGCAGAGACAAGGCAATCACCATTAAGCCTGGGAGGAAGGGAAAGAATACATTGATAGGGAAGCCATGGCTATCTTTAAAAGAGGAAACACTTCCCATTATCCACAATGAGTCTGAGGAATTGGAACTTCAGGTCAGAAGGTCCAGTATTTTTTTAGTGGGCAGTGTGCTAAGAATTCTACATATATTACCCTGTTTAGTATTCCCATCAACCCTGCACAGTAAGCTAAATTACTTCCCTTTTACAAAAAAACTGAAGCTCAGAAAGCTTACTCACCAAGGTCACTCAGCTAACTGGTGGAGGCACTGTGGTCCGACGCAGGTCTGTACGCCTCTGAGCCAGGGTTTCCAGACAGACAGCCGCTGAGTAAGGTTCTCCCTCTACAAGGGGAGTCAAATGAAATGCAGACAATAAAAGGCAATCTACTCCCAAAATCACCCTAAATGAGGAAGAATGGGAAGGGAGAGGAAGACCAGGACAAAAAATGAATTTGTTTTCCTTGAGTAAATAAAGATAAAATGGTAACGGTGGAAGAAGTTTGGCCTGTCTGAGGACCCTGGGAGGGAGGCAAGGGGTGGCAGAGAAGCTGAAATCCAAGGCCATAGAGAAGTGCTCTTTCAAGGACTGATTTTTTTGTTGTTGTTCTTTGTTCCTGTGCAGGAAGTGCTTATTAAAAAATATATAAGTATCTGCTGTTGCTCCGGCAACGGGCAGAACCAGAGCCCTGCAAGGCCTTGGCCAGGTCAAGAGCTTTTTCTGTTCCCCCACCGCCAACATTTCCATTGTCAAGATGAGGGGCAGAGACCTGCTGAGATACCACTCAGGAGACGTGGCAGAAGCCCAGCACTCCCTTGAACTAAAAAGGAAGCTGAAAGAAGGCTTGGGCTGGGGAGCGCACACTACGGGCTCTGCCCAGCCATACCTGAAGACAGTGACGGAGGTTGAGACCAAAATCAAGCCCTGAGGCTAATCCACAGAGAAAGGAAGAGGAAGGGAAACAGAGGGAAACGACCAAAGCTAAAGCAGACAGACACCCGCACATTGAGACCCAGAACATAGGCCCTCACATGGAGGCAGAGAAACAGAGCACAGAGGAACGCTGCCTTGTCTATTCTCCTGAAAAGGCATCTGTATTTCTCAGCGAAATCCTGACTTGGGTCTTTTCTTCATTTTCCAGCTGGACGGAACAGAGAAATGCCTGGCATGAGAGGCGCTGGGAGTCAGCGCAGATTCACGCTCAACCCTCTGCCCCTCTGCCAGACTGCACCACCTCCCTCCTCCTCCTGCCGAGCATGGCTTAGCTCACTGTCCAGGTAGCACACTTCAAAGACTTGGGGTGAGATGGGGTAGGCTGGGCAGCCTCAGGATGGGAGCAGATTCCACTCCCAACCCAAACACTCCTCACCAGTTTTCCTGAAAGCCTTCCCCTCCTCTCAGCTCTCTGACATTTTGGACAACCCCTGGAAGTTAGAATTAGAAAACCCAATTTTTCACTGGAGCTGTCAGTTCTTCTGCACTGCAGGTCTGTGTGGCTTTATTATTATGGGGTTGACCAGATGTCAGCCAATGCCCTAGCACAGCCTGGCAACAATTGAGTCTTATGTTCTTCCCTGGATTTCATCATACTCTCTGGGGCAGAGAGACGGGGCGCTTAAGTGACCAGGAGCCAAAAGACACTCTCAAGATATGTGTATTACAGGGATGGCCCTGGGCCTGGGTCTTAGGGACCCTAGGCTGGCTGCCTCCCTATCTGAAGATGTGACCGTTAGCCTGCTTTGTACTAGCTATATGTGTCCATCTCCTGCAGAAAACTGTGAAGATCTCTGCAATCAGGAAACACACTCATCTTTGTGGCCCTTGTAACACAAAGTGCCTGATGCTAAAGTGCCCTCATTAAAATGTCTACTGACTTGAGTTCATTTTTGGGTGGCCCCCTCTGACTTTTCTGAAGCACCACAGAACTTGACAAGTGGGAGGCAGTGTTTCCTCCTCTCTCAGGTTCTTTCTCTCACCACAACTGGGTCTATGCGTGACACTTGGCACTGGCCCAAGGATTCAGTCTTATTTTTCTTACTGGGGGGGGAACTTGAGGACAAAATGGCACTGATCTGTCAAGCATTGTGTAGGCAGAATTCTAAGATGACCCCCAGTGACCAATGCTCTTGTAAAAATTCCTCCCCTTGGGTGTTTGTGGGACTTACAGTTTGTTTTTAACCACTAGAATATGGCAACGATGATAGAACATCACCCTGTGATTGGTAAATATGGCACAAGTGAAGGGATTTTCCAGACGTAATCAATTTGCAGTTGACTTTGAGTCAATCCAAAGATTATCCTGGATGGGCGTGACCTAATCAGGTGAGATTTTTTTAAAAGAGGGTGTAGATGTTCCCTTAAGTCAGAAACTCAAACAAGCAGAGGCTCCCTGTCTCTCGTCTCTCTCTCTCAGTGCTGGAATGAATACTTTTCGGGCTTGGTTTCTTGGTAGGCAGGTAGCTACCTCCTCCTCTGAGTTCCCCAGGAGTCTCCCCCCCCAGCCCCATCCAGCCCAGCTGTTTCAAATGCTCATTTCTCTCCACATGTCCCAGGCTCTTTCCCACCCCGACATGGTGACCAGCAATTGACCTCCTCTACAAAGACCAAATCAAACCGGTGCCCTCTACCCCTCTTCCCTCCCCAGCCCCACTTCTTGGCTTTCCTGGGAAACTGAGTATGGTTCCTGGCAAAACTTGAGTTCTCCTCCAAAGCCCAGACCGAGGCATTCTTCCCTGCCTAGAGCCCTCCCTCTGAGAGTCCGTGCCTATATCACATTTTTGATGATCCTCAGATCTCTACTACCAGCCCTGCTCTTTCCAGACCTGCTGTATTCTCTGTACTCGGGGTAGCTTCACCAGATACACCTGCTTCTCTCCACCCTCGGTCAGGGCTTCCTCTGCTTTGATCACCTGCCTCCCACCCATCCTCTCAGATGCCGAGTCTGGAACCTCAGAGTCATTTATCCCCCGCTGGCCCCTTTTCCCCAAATATTATTTTATTGGTCACCAAAGTCTTCCTCTACAATATAGAAGGAAATCATCTATCTCCCTACTTATTACTCAGGAGTGTTCCGATGAATATTCAGGTGTAAGAAGACAGAAGGTCCATAACAGTGTAACCTGAAGCTGAATAATTATGTTTTCATTATATTTCAAAATTCAGCCGTTTGGGATAGGGAGCAGTTTGGGATAGAGGGCAGGATGACCATGACGTAATGGTGGTCAGGCTGAGGGATGGGCTCATTGGGGGGTTATCATACTGTTCTGTCTACTTTTGGGTATGTTAGAAATTCTCCACAATAAAAAAGTTTCTTCAGTAAAGTTAAATAACCAGTCCAAAAAAAAAAAAAGGTCAGGGGCCCAACACTGCTTTTGTAGTTCCAAATAATACCAAGAAGCTGAAAGGGAATCACAGCTGCCCCTCTTGAAACCATGTTTCTGCCCAGTCTCCACTGGGCCTAGAGCCTCCGTATTTCTTGCCAGGGATTGTGTGCATCTGTGACATCTGTTCTTTGCTGCAAGAAAATATCTAGGTAGCTAGGTAGATACATATGCACATAGATGATGCCAGTAAATTACCAGTGTGTTTTCAGGGTAGGGGGTAGGGGATGGAGTCCAGAGACTGCCGCAGAGCTACTTAGCCTCTGACAGTTCACCTCTGGCTCTCCACAGTATGGAGCGTTGCCTCCCTACATTTCACATTCCAGTTCCTGCCTGAAACCAAGATTTATAGAATTCCTGACACATTTTCATGCTAGAAGCCACCTGATCCAGGTGGTCACATCTTTCGGGCCTGCCCTGGTGGTCTGTGGATGAGGGAGTAATTGTACGAGATGAAAGGGATATGCAACACACCCATCTGAGGACCAAATAAAGCCCCTGTACCTTTCCAGGATGGTGGCTCCTCATTTAAACTTTGACTTTCAACCTCTGGAGTCAATGTGAACCTCACTGGTTTCTTCCCAGACTCTCAGAGCAGAGTTGAGTCCCCTTCATTCCAAACTCCTATCCCTAGCCAGTGTCAAGCCCCAGGAGGTGCCCAGCGTGGGCTCTAACCCCACCTCTCCCACCACCAGCACCCATGGTGCCCTTTGCCCTCTGGCTGGGCTTCTACCTGGCTGCAGAGAACAAGTGATTAGGGAGGATTTAATAATTATCAACAAAGGAAATTAAAATTTGTTTGGTTTCATTTCTTTTGCCTTTAATACTTTGGCAATCTGAGAAAGATAACTAGAGAGAGAGGCTGGCGACTGAGAAATTTTTTTCAAAAAAGGCAAGGAAAAAGAAAGAAAGAAACAGATTTCCTTCATTTGTCCACAAACACCCACAAGTGTCTGCTATGTGCCCATTACAGTTCTAGGCACCGGGCAACACCATGAAAAACACAGCCAACCACCTGCTCTTGTGGCACTTTCTTTCTAGACATAACCAAGGCCTGGGAAGACAATAGGAACAGAGATTCTGCCTATAAAAATACCTCATGGAAAAGTGATTGAAGAAGGTATTGAAAATAATAATAACTACCACTTGGGTCCTTACCATGTGTTATGGGTTAAACTGTGTGCCCCCAAATTTCATATGCTGAAGTCCTAACCCCAGGTACCTTGTAATGTGATCTTATCTGAAAATAAATATAATTAGTTAAGATAAGGTCAAACTGGAGTAGAGTAGGCCCCCAATCCAGTAGGACTGGTGGGTGCCCTTTTTATGAAAAGGGAAATCTGGACACAGACAGGCCCTCAGGGAGGACGCCGTGGGAAGACAAGTTAGGTGGCCACAAGCCAAGGGGCAATGGGAAGCCAGGAGAAGCCTGGAAGCAACCCCTCCCTGAGGCCTTCGGAGGGGGCCTGACCCACAGGGCACCTTGATCTGGGACTTGCAGCTCCTAAACTATAAGACAATTCATTTGTTTGTGCTACTTTGTTACAGCAGCCCAAGCAAATTAACACAGTACAGAGACCATCTTACTTAACTCTCACAACCGACTTATAGGTACCATAGCCCATTTTACAGAAGAGTAAATTGAACCAGAGGAAAGTTAAATAACTTGCTCAAGGTTGAGCTGCTTTAATCTGAGAGAACAGTGGTACTCGAAGCTCAGGGAAACTTGCCCTCCACATCCAATTCACCCTAAATGGGTAAATCCCACCTCTCCCTCCACTCAGCCTTTCGATCCATGCCCCAAACAGATGTTGTCTCTGCTTGGCTCTTGGTTAAAATGCTTCCACACCAGCTCGGTGGTCAAATTGGTGCCTTTACCTGCTCTAAGTCTATACAAACAGAAGGACCTTGTAAGTTGTGACATTCATGCTATTTGAGTGAGTACTACCCCATTTACCAACAAA